TCCCGGTGCGAACAAGTAATATGCACTACTGGTGAGCTGTAACGAGAACCAGATTAGAGTTCGTGATCCTCTCATTCGGTGTGGACTGTCGAGAATAATTAGGCCAGGACGACAATATTGTTAAGACGACAGCAAAATGAATAGAACTTCTACACCACCTGAAACGAACCCCGCTATCAACCCTAGCACCCTCGAATACTTCTGCCTCAGCGGAAACCACCACACCGCAAGGTCAACCGATTGATTTAACCAGCTTCTGTGGCTATGTCCCGGACAGTGCCCCAAAAGTCAGTCACTAGAGATCCAGTCGGAACTGGTATAGCGATATACCTTTCTCCTTGATTACTCACAAATACGAATGATGATTCTGTTCCACATTGCGCTATCGAGTTTTATGCTAAAGTTGACTGAGGCAAGACACTTCCAACGCGAGTTTTTGCCTTGGCTGAAGCCGCTGTGGTTGTCCGCAGAGTAATAGTCACCAAACGTGCATACCAGTCTGGAATATGATATCACACAATGTAGAATGCAAACCAACAGATTACTGTGTGGTACCTCCCAAATACGTCTATGTAGACACTACGTAAATTAAAACATTACAGGTGATAATATTTTAGGATAGCCATAATCTCGAAGCTAATAAGGCCACCAAAGTTAGAAATCAACGTATTTCACAGATGGTATGCCCACACCATCGTGAGTGAGAAAAGCAAACCGTTCACCTGTAGCACCCTTTCGGTGCCATAACACCCTAAGGAAGAACGAGGGCTTGGATACTGCCAGGTCTCCCAGACAGGAGGAGTCGGGACGCAAAAATGAGGTTGGAATCCCGCTTGTTGTTCTCTAGTCAGTGTCTCACGAGCCACTGTAAGGCGACGAAGTATGCTAACAGTCTCGTTACGACCGGCGTCAACCTGATCCCCCTGTGATTGTCACACTCACTACGAGCCCCTCTTTTGAAAATTGGTGCTATCCCAGACTCCCAACAGTTGTCGGGAGAGTCTCTTTCCCCAAATGCAAGCAAACATATCAGACAAGCTTTGAGTGAGGACTTCATCCCCGTCTTGGAACAATGCGGGTATGGAGTCACCCGGAACAAGAGCTCGGTGGCGCTTGAGAGAACATATGCAGTCATAAACCTCCTAGGCCGAAATGGGTTCCACGTTCACCGTCCAGGGTCCTACATCAACTGTTAGCTCCAGATAACTGGCAGTTGGTGGCCACTATAACTGTTGTTCGAAGTATTCGGCCCACCGATCAAGGCGTTCTTCTTTATTCAAAATGGTCACTCCGTTCTTCGATGGCTTCCGGGGACCATTCGAGCGGATCAACTGAAATAATCTTCGAACATTACCGGCTTTCTGGACCTCTCCCATTTCCTTGATGTTGGGTCCATCACATTTCACAATCGGTTGGCACGCGTACTTTCACTTTACTTCTGATAATTCGTCACGTCAGGTTACGTTCGGGACCGGCTGGGATATTTCTCTAAGATTCAAGCAATGCCACTGTTCAGTCTGACTTCCAAGATTGAGTAAACCTGGTAGCGCCGTACCACGAGCAAAACTCCCAGCAGTGTGCAAAGAGAGGGAGATCCTGTCCAAGTGTGAATGCACATCTGACGGTTTAGACATTCGTCTAACATCCGGATCTGCCAGTCTTTCAGTTGCCAGGCGATTTATCCGCACCTTACGCAGCCCTGGAAAACGAAGAGGGAAGCAACTCCGGACGAGCGCATGGTCGGAATCTACAAATGTGTCCCAAAAGACTGGTAATTGGTTATTCATCCGCGCTGTCGGTAACTTAAGGCAATGTGACCGACTTGAGTTTGTGGCCGGAACGCCGTTGGAGGACACCGTGTGGCCAGACGACTTCAGCTGTTTTGAAACTCAGTATGGCAAAAGACAGCCTGCGGTCAGCACACAGCTGAGGCAATCGTCCATCATTCTCCGTACGTATCCAGTCTAATCCAATTCAACCTACTAAATCAGTCTCAGATACGCTAAGCCTGCCCGTTTGTACATTCAGATCTCCAGCAACCACAACGATATCTGAGCTTTTAGCTCCCGCAACAAGGTATTCAGGGCGCCATAAAACCTGTCTTTGACAGCATCGGTGCTACAGTTAGTTGGGGCGTAAGCAGACACAACAGACACCGATCAGATTTCCCCTTCAGCTTTCCTCCTTCACAGACGTTGCTAGACCAACTGCACAGAGGAGACTAGCAACGGGTATCACATCAAGCAATGATCCATCCTTCTGGTGACTTGGGGCGATAACAACCCTGCACATCCTGCTGTAGTGGTCTCTGGATCGCCGGAGATGCGCAGTCGGAAGCGAGTAGAGAGTTATGGGGCGATTAGCTCAACCAATGTACTTGTATTTTGAATTCTCGTTTCTGAGACACAGCACATATCAATATCAAGTGAGTCCAGTGTGAGGGCAAGAGTAGCTTGCTATCCTGCTTGATTCAAAGCGCGGACACTGAAGGCAGCCAGATAGGCAGGGTGTCGGGGCTTGAAGATTGATTTAGAGATGCCTGAAAATGTCGGCGCCGGATAACGCGCGGATGTTGCGCGTAAAACCGTTGCCAACTCCAGCGGAAGCTCTCCCCTGAGTTGACTATATCAAGTAGTGTCAGGCACGACTGTCCTCTTTCACCTTTCCTTTTCAAATTCCTCACTGACACCATTATGGAAGGCTCACTACCGGCTTTTTATGCCTCTGGGGTCGAAGTGCTCCCGAGACACCTGCCCACAGATATCGAGTAAGCAGACGGCGCCGTCGTAACGCAATCAACATGAAATAATCTAAATGATTCTGCCTCACGGTTTGGCATGCGCTTCACATCTGCAAAGTGTAAAGTGCTGCTGCAAGACTGGACGAGGTAATAAACAAGTTTGTTTACCCGGTCGACTGCATCAGTCCCGGTGGTTCCGCGAAAGATGGCATTTACATCCGCATTTAGAAGGCCGGAACAGCTTACGGTCCATATTATTACATGGAGCAGAAACTGACCGCTCCGCAATGAGGACGTCAATAAACCTCCAGCGCCCGACCACTGGTGTCATCCGACCACCGCCTGAGTCTAGTGAGAACACCGGATCAGTAATGCGGAAGCATGCCGAATAGATTTCGGAAAAAATAACTCGCTCACGATAGATGACCCCATCACACTTCATAGGTTGCGCTGGCTTGGTCACGAGCCTCGCACGTGTGTCGGCCGACTTCACCGAAGAGCCCCCTTCCGCAGATCCGCACAAACGGTGGAAACGAGCCTGAGTGTGATAATAAATGACTTCGCAGTAAAGTATGAAAGCTATTACCAGCAAACTCAGCTTCACTGGTCTTGCTGTCTGTCGGAATGAGAACCACGAGACGGGACATATCGACGACTAGATACATTGTCAGAGGTGGCCCAGTCGCACCCCCGATAGCACTCATGCATTCAAGCTGCTGCCTTCAATGTATCGCTCCCCTACGGAACTCTTCAGTGTAAAGCCCAGACACCCCTGTATTTACGCATAAATCATATCAGCTACTGTCTCCAACATGTGGCTATCACCCCACCTCCCTAAATAATAGGCAAAAGAAACTGTGGCAGCTAGAACAACTGTACGACAAGTGCGCGGTTCATACGGCTGATGATGATGACGACAAGAGCATACCCAGAGAACAGAACAAATGAAATGATTCCTATTACAGCTAAATCTAGGTCAGTAAAATCAACTAAGGTGTCACGATATAACAATGATGATTCTTTCCCATACTCATTCTCTGCTCTCAACGTTGTTGTCCAGCATTCCGCTTTAATCTTATGGTCCCTTTTATGCGCGTCAGTTTTGTTCCAAACGCTCCAACTACGAAAATCTTATAACAGAAATCAGCTGTCTGATTCAAAAATTTATACACCGGTATGCTAGATTTTCCATCACATTTAGATCAACGAATTTTGCGCCTGAAAGCATTCGTGGGGCGCTTTCATCGTTAGGTAAATCTTATTAATCACTTCATATAGTTTTCGAATGAAGCGTTTGACCACCATTTAATCCCTCAATGGGTCGTACGGCCTTATCGAATTGCCAGACTTCCCCTCTGCTCCACCAGCCACCAATTGCAACCAACAACTCCTTGATCTTCTCGCGGTAGTACAGCATCGCAGATGCTATAGCGATGACTCGGTAAGTAGCAGTCGGCGTGGGGTCTGAAGCTGTCCACTGTAATGCGTCCCATCTTTCTATGAGTATGCATTTTGTTGCTGGACATAATCAAGGGAATATTCTGCACACCCTAACTCCCTATGCTCAGGTGAAAAACTCAGTATTACGCTTGAATACCAGTAAAGATACTCATGAACATGACTTTTCAGCACAACAACCTGCCCACAAGCTTCGTTCACATTACAGGTCCCCGTCAAGGATCACAGAAACGGCTTGATTGCAAACCTGAGACATCTGTTCAAGGACGCTTGCCACGCACTAATGAATGACCTAACCGTTTGATTTTTCAACTAGTTGAGCAAAGCAATCGAAGGGCACAGGTATATACCCTTGGGTCGTCATGGCTAACCGTCAAGACTTGCTTGAATGTGCAGAAGTGAACTCTGATATTAACATATTGGCAGCTTGCGTAAAGATGTAACAGCGAAAGTGTTTGCGTAAGTTGATGCCTACAATCTGCCTCTCGTTGGTCTTTTTAGTTTAGACATCTACATTGAATAGCATGAGCAAAGGTCCACATCTTGCCAAAAAACAAAAGCTACGGAATTTATTCGAATTCAGACCTTCACATTAAGAGGTCAGCCTACACAGACCGTTCTTCAAATGACGACACCACGATCACACTGTTCCTACCCTTCTTGCTGCTTCACGTGTCCACTTCCTGACTCTCGTCGAGACAAACAGTTTACCATTCACAATAAGGACAGGTATACTGGCACATTTAGCAAGTAATGACAACCCAAATGCCATTTCCGGACAAACAAGTACTGAAAAAGCAGATGGTTAACGGCTATATTTACAGACTTCTGAAGAGGAATTGAGCACACCATTACCCAGATCAGCGCCACCGTCGAGGGGGAGCTTGAACACGAAGCCGTGGTTGGCGATTTCGACGTTCGATTTTGAATTCTTTAATTCTAGAGTTATGTGGTTCAGGAAGACAAGAAAACTGTCCCCCAAAATCCGGCATTTCGTCTTTAAGCTCCTGCACCAACTCCGACTTATCCGTCATCTACAAATAATACGGAAAATATGCTCGGTTCAGCAACAATCAGAAGCACAATCTAGGGAAAAACGCGGCAAGACATCACCCTGTTACGGGAACTACGCGACCTGATCGGACATAAGCAAACCTGAGTGGATCCTTGATTCGACTAACCTATCGTAGGACTAATCGTTGGTTTGGGTGATATGAGAAAGAATAAATATAGCTCGATAGAGACAAATAACCCTCCTCGAATGCACACATATTCAGTTTAGCCAATTTGCGTCACTAGTAGAAAAGCTGTTGTTTTCTTCTTGGGAGATATTTCGACCGAGCCGGTAAACGCTAAAACTAAATTCTAGAAATTAGAAGTCCTGATCAAAATAGGTAGTGAAATGAACGTGTCGAAGGACAGTACCACAAGAGCAGTAAATGTCCGTGAGTTGATTAGAATGGGAAATCAACCAACCGGTTTCAAACTGTGTACTGTCACAAATCGTTTAGGAGGGTAATTCCATATTTTCATGATGCACACACCCGTTTTTATTCCTTGCGTTAAGAGGCAATCCAACGATTGGAAGGAAGAGTTAGGTGAGCGGCGAATGCACGCATACAGTACAGCAGTTACGATGTGTTACGCGATAAGATTCAGGAAGACAAATTGCGTAATATGGGCGTTGCATGAACTCAGTGATTTTATCGGTACTGCAAAAAGAGAACACGGATAAGTGACTGAAAGGATTAGCATTCGACTTTGATTCGCGTTCGGGCTAGCCAAATGACAAGCATGTGAATAATGTGGCCAAAATGCCTGTCAGTAAATCAAACCGGGTATTAAACGGGTTTCCTGGTGACGGGAGGCGTCCGCACCATGTCGCTACTCTTAACGGACAGCTCACCATAGCATGTGCGTAAAGCTCTTGCTGCGGTAGATCATTTAATGGATCGCCAAAGATAGAAACCATGGCGTGATAAATGACAGGAACATCTATGCTGAAAACCGGTTTAGGAATAGGCCGGTCGGATTCGGAGACCATTATTGAAAAAAGTACGAAAAAAATACAAAAAGCCGGACGCAAGAACGAAAAAGCCATTTGTATATACTTCTAGAGACCTGACATTCTCGGACGTATTCTGATAATATTTTGACTATCTGAACACCAAAGAAGGAACACAACCGAGTACACCAAAGATTTGAAACCTGCAATCCATGGGCAATGACCTGATGATGGGACCTCAAAAACACTAATGTTCGTTTACTGTATTGCTGTTATTGAAACTATAGGAATATACAGGTAATTTCAGTCAACAACCGGTTAACTGCGAACAAATGTCACAATTTTTAAAGTCGGCATACATACCACAAATGTTCAGTTCTCTGCCTCGGTTGATTGTTGTGACATGTTCAAACGGCGTCATACGAGGTGTCATGGCAGGCAAAAACCAGCCTATCATGCATACCGCTGAAGAGTTGACTGAGTAGGATCGTTTGATCAGCTATACATTGGTATTTGAGCTCTAACGCTTAGAAGTGTAAAGTACATGGGGCCAAAACACCCTAAGAATGGAACGAATACATATTTAGAACCATCTAAGAGATGAGATGCTTCCCCAGATCGTTTTCGACTTTTCTGTGGAACACGGAAAACGTTGACTCCAATCAGCGTCCTCAATAATGGTATGACCTATGCGAGTAAGAGTGGCAAGCCGAAATTGGACCGGTAAATGGCCACGTGTGCGCCGGAGTGTGGTCACATTTTGGGTACATGACCGACTTTAGCACTGAAGATTGTTGTCGCGTTCTCGGTCTGGTCAAAGTTAGTCAATTTCAAAGGGACAGGTGAATTCGGAAAGCCAGAGAGTTGGACGTCTAAACGGTATAGTGCTGACAATTATACAAACACCACACGGCGAGACGGATGAAATAGAGGCACAGGCAGGTCCAGGAAAACTGCACACAGGATGCAAACACTTTTCGTTGGAACTGAAAGACAGTCCATATCGGGTCAAAATTGAAAGCCCGATGTATTTGTTTCTTCTGTTCTCCTTCAAATCACAGAGTTCACATCTCGTCTGTTTTTACATCTGATTTTAGAACTTCAGAAACCCTAATTATACACTATCCTCTGGTCTGTCTGATTACGGTGTCCAACGATAGCAACAAAACAGACAACGTGATTAATGTATGGTTGTAGCACGACTGATTGCCCCTGTCTGGGAGGGCTGCGCGTCGATAAGCCGCGGTTCTCACCACAGCGTCGCGTAAGCGGCAGGCACAAGGCACAGAGGTGGTACCGGGACTAGTAAAAACTCCACAAGGAGAAAGCAGTAACATAGTTTATTTGAGGTATCAGATAGATAGCGCATTCTGTAGAGACATTCCCCTTAGGAAGCAAACACATTTCATTGCTCCCCAATGCTTCTTTACAAAGGGCGATCATTGCATAAACTCCCGCGGAATTAAAAGTCTGTCCCTGTAACACCGAAACCAGTATGGACTTCCACCCTGAATCAAAAGAATTATCACTCACCTTGAGGAAAAAGACGTCGTTTGGATGAGGCCGTGGGTGACCGAATATCCGATGAGGGGTTTCTCGATCAGCTTGTTTTGATATCTCGAGAGCCTCTTTTTCAAGTTTGCTCATGACGGGTGGTGGCGAATCTGACAGCTCTTCTGGAGACTCTTCACAACTGTCAGGAATCAAGTAGGTGGATGGATCACCAGTAGGTTGCGCTCTGTCACGAGGAGCACAAAGCTCCTTAAGATAAGGCCTGAGATACTCACTGGAAAGATTCTCATCCACCGGATAGGTCATAGCTGACGCCATTAGAGCGATGGCCCGTGGATTGATGGAAACTTTAGTTCTGGAAAGAAGGTTTCAAATATTGTTATGTTTCCGTCATCCACACGAAGTTAGTTGGTAAAATGTATTCTAAACTGTTAACGCATTCTAAAGACCTGTCGGGGTAAGAGATGAGAGTGAAGTGATTTTTTTGATGGCAATGCGCCAATGAAGTCAGCTGATGTTGAATTGTATTACATCAGTGTTGAACACTGATGTCATGCTGTCGATGATGGTGATGATGATGAAAGCCATTATCAAATGCAGGTTTCGACGAGAAGACTCCATGGGGCCCCACAGGGCAAGCGAACTGAGCTGCTAAACCAAATGTAATGAGGCAAGCGAAAAAAAGCAGAACTGATATCTTCAAACATGCTTCATTCTAACATTATCATACTAACAGTACTCTAAAAACAACTGTTTTTTTAAAAACAGGACGTTTTTCGAAGTGCTAGTTGATGAAAAACATAATATATATCGTAGAGCTTAGTAGCGCAGAGCCTCGTTGTCAAACAAGTAAGTACCGAAGGACATAGGTTCAAACTGACAGGCACAACAATTAGGTGAAACTGCATAAGACTAGTATCTGAGGCACAAAAACGAATGAGAAAACGAGGAATCCGTATAAATATGCGGCACTGGTCCGACGATGATGACGGGACACTAAACTGCACAGAGAATGCACAGTATATTTAGAATAAGTAGAAACCCACATGAGGGGATTGCGGTTCACAATCTAGCAACTGACGGCCGATGCGGTGGTTGCCACCGAGCATTCCAGTATAAGTAGGGTTGGCGAGCGTATAAACAGCGGTTTTAGATCAGCCGATTCGCCACGTGACGGCGTGAGGCTGATAGTGGGTAGGGAGTAAACATTGACAAAGTGATTTGGATCCTAAGCGGAGTGCCCAACTTAATCGGAACTCACGCAGCACACATGTTGCACTTATCTACACAGATCAACGAGAACCAACAAATACATTCAAGTGGAATCATAAACCCAAGTGTTACAAACCGAAGAACCAAACCCTGAATTCTTAAGAGCCCATTGGTCATAATGTTCTCACACACACGAACAAAACCCCCTAATCGACACCTCATACCAAATTAGGCCATTATCCATAAGAAACTCCCTTGAATGGTGCTTTGTCTGCAGTAAAGCCTAGAAAATCTTACATCCTAGTCATTTGGCTAAGTGAAGCCTCTCCGTCAAAACGAGCCACCTCCAAGTGCAACAACCGTTTTCCAGACTTTTGAAGCGAAAGGGTGTATGTGAAACCATCTAAATTTGCAAACGATTGTACTTCGCCAATTAATTACAACTAGGCGTTCCAGTATGAGGTTGATGAAAAATCAGGGACGATAAATGCTCGGTGAGCCTCAAGAACAGCTATCATGGGTTTCCGAAGGTATTTGAGTCTCATCGTTACTGTGTGCAACAAGGAAAAAGTGCAAGGAAGAGCAAGGAGCAGAAAGCTCTTTTGGTATATTATTGTAACCACAACAAACGCGGCCAGTCACATGCTTAAACTATTGACGTTTTGTTATGGCTGCACAGTGCTACGACTGCACACAAGGTGAGTTGCAAAGATTCCATGATGACGCTGGACTGTGAATTTTGTGATCGATGCATCTCGCATGTGCCGAACAGCAGACAGCATGGTACACAGACGTGAGTGTTAAGCCACTGGATCTCCTTTATATTCATGATCGTTTTGGGCCCACCTATGATCGCCGCTAACTCATGATTATCGGTCCAAGTGACTACTTTGAGTGGATGCCTACTTGTTTCCAGGCCTACACTCAAACCCGATGCAAACAACAACCCACAAGCTCGAAATATTCCTAATCAAAGAGCTATTATTGTTAATACGCTTGTGAACTCCAAAAGACTCACAGACAAACAAATCACAATAGTCTAATGCACTTTAGAAGTATGTAAGAAGGTTTGGCGCAAACCCATACAACTCATCAGCCTTCTGTCATCAGCCTTCTGAGTGAGTAAATACGTAAAACCATCAGATCCCCAAAAATTGCCAGAGGGGTGTTCCTTTCGACAGACCTGAGGACACATTTTTGTGACACCCAACAAGTGTTGACAGCTAACCACGAAAATCAACAAACCATGGAAACAGAAAACCTGTGAACGCTGTACACCTGGAAGTTGAAACTTACGGGATATCAGGATTGAGCTCGTAGAGTTTAACTTTGGGTGACAACCAAGCCATATTGAACGGCAATCCGGAATCATCGGCTTTCCATAGTGAGGTTAGCGAGTTCAGCTGGTAACGCAACAGCTGAATGTGATCGTTATCCACTAATAGTAGTTGGGTTGCCAACGGATACGTCAATTCGTTGTACAATGTAAAGCCTTGAAAGTGGGAGAAAACACACCATATTTTGCAGTAAACACGGTACTAGGTCGTGCGGCTTTCTGATCAAACATACAATTTGTTTCGTGGCCGTTATTTATGTTAGTTGAGCAGAACAAAAACCACTCATTCAGGGTAACTTGGATGACAGGAGCCGACGACCAGTACATAGGTTCACTATGTTGTAAACGTAAGAATCAGTCACGAGTAGGGAACAGTTGTGAATACCCAGAGCTCGAGATAGCTCATTGATTAAGGCACGAGCTTAGTGACCAGAAGGTTCATGGTTCAAATTCAACCCCACCATCTCGATTGCTATTGGATGTCAGCCCTCGGACTTCCCTCAGGTAGCGGGTCAGCTATGCACCGAAAAGGCGTCACAAATGCACGATTGTTAATTATTTGTTAATAGTACAATTATTACCAAAAGAACAACTTCAACGGAAGCAAATGACTGCATTACACACTGACAGACCTAATAAAACACAAATTCACAAACTCATAATAGAAACCGCGTCATATTGTCCCTGCTAACCACCAACCTCACGCAAAACCAACAAAATGAGGGAACATTTTGGTATGCTTCGGCGTCATATTTCCCTGCTAACCACCAACCTCACGCAAAACCAACAAAATGAGGGAACATTTTGGTATGCTTCGTGAATGTTCACTTAAAGGGTAGTATTGAACTTGTCTGTTCTAATTAGATGCAGAGTATCCTAATACGTTTGACTAAGCTGCAACAGTTTTAACAGAGGTTTGTTTCTGCAAGTGAAAAAAACAGCCTATAATGAAAGGCATAATAGTTACATTTTTGTGGTGAACTTGGTTCCAATGATAAGCATCCAAAATCCATCCAACATGTGAAGCTGTGATTATCAAGGAAGATTTCCTATCCGTCGGGTTAGGCGTCCGTGAGAATTAAGCTGAGTTGGAAACCGAAACCTAGAGAACTTCAATCCCGTCACGAAGAGACTGGACCTTACCGTGTGACAAACACGGTTTGCGCACGGTTTGGGGGGTGCTTCCCCGACACTCACGGAGTTCCTCATACCTGGTTGGTCACTGGCTATAGGTTTGACGAACACAGCCTCCTGGCCCTCCAGGTTGGGGGTTGGAACATGTGGCGACTTGTTCCGTAGAAATGGTAATGCATTTGCATTTCCCGCCCAACACCGCTGCCTTGCGGCTAAGCTTTCGAACCAAAAGCTTTGGTTGAGAACCCTAATCATCATCCTGTCTAGATGTGGGCGCCATGACAGTGTCCCAGTCCACGTACAACCATGAACTGCACACATACAAATAAACCTACGGCATCAGAGTGGTTTATCCCTGAATCTCAAGGGACGTGTGCAGCAAGATACAGTACGGTCTGTTTTGTTATATGGCTGTGAGACTTGGCCTATTCAAGCAGCGGAACTGAGACGTCTTCAGGTGTTCGACAATCGCTGTCTCAGAACCATAGCTCGTGTGGATTGCTGTCGGCGTATCCGTAACGAGTCAGTGAGAAAGCGGGTTGTCGGTTGTGCAACGGGTACTTCCATTGAAGAATGTGTGCGTTGGTTGGGACATGTGTTGCGTGTGCCTAGCCATCGTTTGCCGAAGAGAGTGTTGTTTTCCATGCCCAATTCAGAGAGGCGAAAGCAGAGAGGTGGCTAACCCCTTACCCGGCAGAGGGGTATGAAAGAAATGTCAGTGTTACTCGCCTTCCAGGATGGGGATCGCGTAATCCTCACTGCGCCTGGTTGGGGACGCTGCAAGATGTCTGTGGCAATCGTGTTGTCAGTTTCTATCCAGATTGTCTGAATGAGTGTTCTGAGAAGTAGGCACCTTGGAATGATAGTAGCAAGCCAGCACTAAGTCCTTTCCCCATGCACCTTTATTCTTTTCTTCACAATAAGGCTTCCGATTTAATCATGGTTGTACGGCATCGAAGCAACGATGTTGAACACTGACGTCATGCTGCCGATAATGGAGGTAATGAACTTCAATCAGGAAATTGTTTTCAAGCAGAAACAGTACTAAGGTCATTGCTAGAGACCAGAGTCACCGTCAATAATCGGTAGTATGGCAAGTTATCGTGATGGTAATGTCCACTCATTTGAATTTGTTTTCAACGTGAGTGCGTCGAGGCGTCCCCACAAATTCCACCGTTTGACTACACATACAGAAGCTAGTGATGACCGCTGAAAAGCCACAACTACAACAAACAAAAACCTATGGTTTTCTTCATTGAAACCCTGAGAAGTCTTTAATAAACGTTTTAAAAAATAGGTATATAGGTCATGCGCATAGCCGACTTCCATCAGCAGCGTATCGTCTTTTTGGCGGACCTCCTACAGGGGAATAACTGTGTTGCGGAAAAGGTCGGAAACTAATCGGCCCACAGGCTGGCGAACAATTCCAAGACGTCTCAACGTTATCTTTTGTTTTAAAAAAATATACTACTCATGGAACGCTAGTAGGCTACTTGAAAAATGTATGTGGCACGAAGGGGTGAAAACAATGTAGTAAAACAACCGCATCCCAAGATATTAACGGCGCAGTAGTGAACTCACCTTGATTGTAAGCTTGTGCACTCGTCCAAGCAAATGCAGTTAGTAGTCCTTCACTTAACGCATGACGCACACGAACCTCCTGTATCACAGCAACAGGAAGCTGAGATTTACTCAGGTCACGGAGCAGTTTCTCACTTCGAGCCACATCCAACACCCCAACATGGCCAAATTCACACGGATCACCTTCCCAAAATGGAGATCTTGGCCAGAAACCTGCAAAGCGAAAATGTCCGTATAGAAGGCGTCCATTGACCCCCACGTTTTGTCTCAGTATAGTAAGTGAAACTGCTGTGGGCCATCAATGGAATCAGGCTTGAGATGCTGCGTGAAACAGTAACTTTTTTCAAGCTGGCGGACAGTCGGAAAGTTTAACCCGAATAGTCATCGGTCCATAAGGAGATCCAAGCCCTAGGCTTGAATTTATCGGTAGCTCCATAAGTGTGAGAGTAACTCAATATTCGGTTAAAACCAAGGTTCTACATCAATTGAAGAACCCCAGTTACGTAAACCAACCGAAGGGCATAAAACATCCCGGAACCGTTGAACAAAGAGCCACGTGTCCAATCTTACTGCTTGCAACTCAAAGGTTTCGACGGGCAGTGGAATGACTAGCCCTGCCTTTATCAGGATGATTCAGATGGAACTCAGTGGATACTAGCAAATGGCTACGAGTGAGTTCAGTTTATCAGGCTTATAAATTATGTACGAAGGGTATGTTGGTGACTACACATACAGAAGCTAGTGATGACCGCTGAAAAGCCACAACTACAACAAACAAAAACCTATGGTTTTCTTCATTGAAACCCTGAGAAGTCTTTAATAAACGTTTTAAAAAATAGGTATATAGGTCATGCGCATAGCCGACTTCCATCAGCAGCGTATCGTCTTTTTGGCGGACCTCCTACAGGGGAATAACTGTGTTGCGGAAAAGGTCGGAAACTAATCGGCCCACAGGCTGGCGAACAATTCCAAGACGTCTCAACGTTATCTTTTGTTTTAAAAAAATATACTACTCATGGAACGCTAGTAGGCTACTTGAAAAATGTATGTGGCACGAAGGGGTGAAAACAATGTAGTAAAACAACCGCATCCCAAGATATTAACGGCGCAGTAGTGAACTCACCTTGATTGTAAGCTTGTGCACTCGTCCAAGCAAATGCAGTTAGTAGTCCTTCACTTAACGCATGACGCACACGAACCTCCTGTATCACAGCAACAGGAAGCTGAGATTTACTCAGGTCACGGAGCAGTTTCTCACTTCGAGCCACATCCAACACCCCAACATGGCCAAATTCACACGGATCACCTTCCCAAAATGGAGATCTTGGCCAGAAACCTGCAAAGCGAAAATGTCCGTATAGAAGGCGTCCATTGACCCCCACGTTTTGTCTCAGTATAGTAAGTGAAACTGCTGTGGGCCATCAATGGAATCAGGCTTGAGATGCTGCGTGAAACAGTAACTTTTTTCAAGCTGGCGGACAGTCGGAAAGTTTAACCCGAATAGTCATCGGTCCATAAGGAGATCCAAGCCCTAGGCTTGAATTTATCGGTAGCTCCATAAGTGTGAGAGTAACTCAATATTCGGTTAAAACCAAGGTTCTACATCAATTGAAGAACCCCAGTTACGTAAACCAACCGAAGGGCATATGACTCAGCATAAAACATCCCGGAACCGTTGAACAAAGAGCCACGTGTCCAATCTTACTGCTTGCAACTCAAAGGTTTCGACGGGCAGTGGAATGACTAGCCCTGCCTTTATCAGGATGATTCAGATGGAACTCAGTGGATACTAGCAAATGGCTACGAGTGAGTTCAGTTTATCAGGCTTATAAATTATGTACGAAGGGTATGTTGGTTCCAGCTGCTACAATTTCAGACACCAGAAAAAGTGAGACTGTGGGATACAGTCAAGCATTAAAGACAATGGCATGTTCAGTTAGATCGCGAACTAGGCAGCTACGCAATGAAGGCACCAGCTTTGACGCACTAGCACATCTGAGTGAAAGATTGAGCCATATCTGCTAGTGTCATTAACCATTGACGAGCTGAGTCCCGGGGTCCCCATCCAGGAAAGTAGTAGTTGTCGACCCGACCCATTTAATTGGTCAGTGCTTACATGATTCGTTGTCAGATCATACACTTCACATCTCGATCGCTTCCAATCAGCACAGTGGTGGGTAAAAAGATTTCTGCGAGGTAGATGGTCCTCTGTCACGCGAAGTACATGTCCTAACCGGCGTAGCGTAACGAGCGAGAGCAATTCGGCTATCATGAGAGAGTCCCCTCCTCCAAAGCCCATCTGGCGTCCCTCATCACTACCAAATCAATGCTTCGAAGACGCCGATGGTCAAGCATTAACCGCTTTTGTATGTCATCCACACGTAGAGGCAACGTTTCTGATGAATAGAGCAGTGTGGGTCGAGAAGTAAATTTATCTCCAGCCAGTCGACCTCAACCTATACGATTGTCTACGTAAACAAATTTATTTACAACGTTGATTAGCTCTTCTGCCAGCATGATGCTTGGATTTGATCCACCAATTTTGTAGCGCCACCTTACACATACAGGGTTTACGTACCACAGGTTTTCAACAATCAAACCAGGCAGTATCCCAGTCCTCGGACCTTCTTCGGGTGTCATGGCACCTAGCAACCGAAACGGTGTTACAGCTGAATGATTTTTGTTGCTATGCATGGCAGAAAAGATGGACATTGGATCCTTACAAGGTTTCACAGTAAGTGGTCACAGATAAGCGTCATGTTACCATAATATGAAGCTTTTCAGGTCACCCCTTTTTTTCGAGAAAACCTAGTATGTTGCTTTAATATTCACAACAGGATGGGAAGTCCACTGACCGAAACAAATCTCTGATCAGTCGGTAAGTGAGCTCTTTGTCACTTTGTCAGTAGCCCCTCGGTGAGCACCAAATGATCCAACTCCAACATGGGGAGCTCTGTACTGTGAGTTGTACGAAACGCATCGCCCGCGCTTTGAACTCGATTCACTAAATCTCAGAGATCAGTAGCTCATAAACATTCCTATCTCATGTCCATTTTCTCCAAGCCCACCGAGTTTGTCACCTAATATGCATTCAGCCTTTCTTGACCTCAGTCAAATTTTGCCTCACTTCTCGTCAGATGACGCAAAGACCATCTTGAGCACCGAAATCGTCACGGTAGCTCGTTTACATTAACACAACGATTGGAACTAGCTCAACAATGTTGGGAATGGTGTTAGAATTTAATCCAACCCCTTGTTTGCTATCTTAATTGGCACGACAATCTAAACCGCAGTCGGTGAACTGTATCTGACGATTTCACAGCAAATGGACGAAAATTTCAGAAACTAGAAGGCGACTTCCCCAAAAGGCTAGTCCGTTTGGTATGTCCGGCCATCAGAGAAAAACCTTAGCCCGAGAAAAAGTCTTTAGTGAGCTCGAGATAGCTCAGTAATTAAGGTGCAACTTACAACCCGAAAGATCCGTGATTGGAACGCAATCCCGCATATCGACTACTCCTGTCTAGGCTTTAGCAATATCCCAGCCCTTGTGTCTTCGCATAGCATGACAGATAGGCACCGATGAACGGCTTTTCCTTCAGTAAAGGTAACTGCAAACTGCAAACCGACCCAACTAAAGAGTCACACTCCCAACCAGTTTAAAAGTATTCCTGTTGAGGAACCACTATTTTTCACCCCACCGGGTTCTGAGGCAAATGAATGGTTGCAAAATATTAGGATGACAAAATTAAGCGTACAGAAAGGATGGGAGTGTATATGAATGGCTAATTGTAATTAGGGGACTCAAACAAGTCCCTGTCTCGGAAAAAAGTTAGCAGCACACGAGTTGTTTCGGACTTCTCAGTCATATACTCAATGCGTCAGGGGTGATATGATTGGGGCGTGACATCCTTTGTGTGCATACCTGCAATGCAAGCGTTTGATGTACCACCTGGACAACTGCGGTCAAAGTTAGTGACAAATCCGAGACGCAAACCCGGTTATTTATTTCGCTACTAGGAGGGCTGGCCTGGAATTTGACTTCAATCAGGATTTTCGACATAAAGGCGCTCAGTTAGATAAGGTGACTCTTGATAATGCACTGGATAACGTTCTAATAATTCACAATGAGAAAACCTATCCTCTTTTCATAAACGTACCAGCAACTGAACGCGCAAACTCTGAAAAATCCAAAGTCTCCGTGTGCGGAAGGCAGGAGAATTCGTAACAGTCCACGGGCTTTAGTTCGAAAGCTTCGGGACGATAGTTACAAGTAGGGACACGATTCTCCAGACAGAGTGGATCGTCCCAAGAAAGGAACTGGGTTGAAAAACAGCGGAAAGCTAGAGAGTAGCGGTCAAAAAGATGATTCAACTAAGCAATAAAACAAAAATTTAAAGGAGACGAAAGAATACAACAGAAAATAATTAAAAGACTATATGCAGAACACACTATCTTGTACTAGCTCCGATGGTAGTGTGAAGCATCAAATCACGAAGAATCTCAAAAAGTAGAACCGCATTTGCTAGTTTGCCCCACTTGGGGCATCAGAAGGACATATCACTGGGTCTTAAGAGGCGCGTATAGGGCACTGTCGTGCACTGTTGTGTGTCCGTTAGAATTGGCTGCTAAGGGCGGAGAATTTGAACATCTTCGACAAAGGATGTCTCAAACCTACAAAAGGAATCGGATGGAAGCAGCAAACTGGCAGTGAGAAACGGAAGTTTGGTAAAGCCATAGGTACTTTACTTGAGGAACGTATGAGGTACTGCAATCCTGAACGGTCCGGTCATGTACTGTGTACATTAAGGTACCGTCCACCGAGGGTAATGAAGTCTTCTGAGCACACTCCGGGATGAAAAAACCAACAGGTGACTTGGCTGAAAGTAATGGTGTTACGAGACGTCATAATCCTCCTATCGCTTGAACGAGGGGATTGAAAATATGGCAAATGACCCATGCCAATGGCACTTATGCCGTCAGTTTCCATCCAGCCTCTCTGAGTGGGTGCTGTAGGACTATCCTACTGGGATGCTTGCGGTAGGCTACAGCCAGACTCCATCCCCTGATTTCACCACAAAACGTAAGCACATAAATAATCTGTGAACAAAGCGATGGTTATTCAACCTCCCATGATAAAACGACTGAGTCGTAATCACAAGCAAGCCGACTCATTAACAGCGTTTTTCAAGACATTCGGGTGGAACTGTAGGCGAGATTCTAGTGACAGTAATTTGGTCACATATCAAAAATCATGTGGTCCGACTTTCTAGACATTGCATATATGATCTACTTTGATAAATAGTGGCACGAAACACAAGGGGGAAACAGCTACAGACAGCGGTAGTTCGCAGAGAAAAGCCAAGATGTTAGGGTGTGTAGTTGGGACTGGTAGCTGAACAGCTCAATTACAATCCTCTTTTCTCCATTACTCTTATCTGAGCTTGGACAAGCTAACAGTATTCTAAACCTTGTGCTTCTTACGACTGGCTCAACTACTGAACACCGAAAGAAAAAACAGTCGTACAAGCTGACTTTCGAATAACATTTAAGTCTCCAGACTAAATTGCCGAATCAGGTGCACATGTATCAGTCTCAGCGATAAAAAAACGTAACATACCAAATTTGCGGCGCACTGCAATATCACACATAACTGCTTACGTCACCTGAACGCTATCACCGATTTCCACAATAGATAAGTGTGAAAGGTGACTGCCTCAAGGGTCACTTATGCTCGTCCATTATGGCTAACGCTGCGCCCATTTCAGTAATCACTCCTGCCTGTAGTCAGCGCCTGGCTTATTTGATGTCTGAAGCGAGGCTGATCTGATACTAGCACACTAACCAGTCAGCCGTAGGCTCGAGACTTTAGTAAACGATCGCTGCATGAAACCGATATGTTTACCAGAAACAATTAGCAGAAATTGTGGGACAATAGACTCTGACATGAAAGTAAGGACCGTTTTGTGATAAACCCGTAACACTTGGCGACTTAAGCGTTCAAAGTGAAATTTACCGGTCTTAGTGGGTCAATACCACGCAGCTGGCAAGCCAATTCGGAACGAATACGATAGCGAACGGTTTCCTCCTTAGTATCGAACACCGTCTCATTCACCTCATCAAAAATATCTTCCGCGATATCGTCATACTTGGAAAACATTTCTGGAGGAACTTTCCGCTTCAGGAAGGTTTCTATTGTTCCACGCTCATCCAACTGATAAGGCCGGCGAGCAACATGACTTTGGGGAAACATACGTAACCAAGCCTGATGGAACGCCTCCATGTAGGCGGCAATCATCTTCCCCCGTTCTCGGTTCCGCAACAGGACGGCTTCTGGGTTGGTATCTACAGTGTTGATTGGAAGGCGATTCAGCTGCTGGAGGCATTCGGAAACGTGAGCAACATGACTTTGGGGAAACATACGTAACCAAGCCTGATGGAACGCCTCCATGTAGGCGGCAATCATCTTCCCCCGTTCTCGGTTCCGCAACAGGACGGCTTCTGGGTTGGTATCTACAGTGTTGATTGGAAGGCGGGTCAGCTGCAGCAGGCATTCGGAAACGGCATGGGCCATATACTCTTGAGCTAGCGGATACTCCTGCGCTAGATCTGGCTCCCAAGGGTACATTACATTGGTGCGGGTCAGCTGTTGACAAAATTCGAGCATTTCAGGGTGTTGTAATGGCAAATCTAGCGAATGATACCATAGATTTTGCTCCAAATGATAAAGCTCTTGCAGTTTCTCGAATGTGGTTGCTACCTGTTTCAGCTGTTGTTCATGTTTGAATCTGAAGCAGTAAGGAAAATTCATGATTAGATACCGATTGAACGATGGTGCAAACAATCCTTCTGACAAGTTTAAAGATACCTAGCACCGATGAAGAAGGAAGTTGAGTCAGGCGAGAGAAATGGCTGTTGCGTAGTTTAATTAAAAAGTTCTCAACAGAATTATCCGCAGTTGAGGCTGCGCTGGTCACTGCCGTCTTCCTGGATGGGAACCCCGAGACGGGCCACATCAATGGCTAGAAACATTGTCAGACA